TGGAATACAAATTTGGAAGCATTGCCAAGCCTATGTTGAAACAAAGCTTGTCATTATATAGTAATTAATGGAATCTTTCTAAAAAAAAAAGGAGTATTTATATGGGAAAACTGGTTGCAAATTGCATATTAAAACTATAGGTTGTATTATTGTGGTAAGCAGAATAAATTGTATCAATATATACATATATAGTATAAGTATGTACGCCATTCAGTTATAGCCGAAACTTTTTCTCACAGACCTCTCTTATGTCAATGCATTGAAAGGTTTTGCAGAGTTAGACAGCTTTGTTTTTTAGATGAGAAGGATATCAATCAAATCAGTATTACAATTACTTTAACTATTTTCAGCTATTTCTGTTGCTGGTCTAGCTTGATTTGATGCTCAAGAATTGGCAGCCCAGATGCAAAGTGCAGCGGCGGCATCGACAATAACAATGACAAGAGCCGCAGCATCCATTTTGCAATGCATGCGCATCAACTTCATTAACAACAATTCAAGCAAGAGGCTGCGGCTGCGACTGCGCGCGTGCGTCCAATGCGCTCAAGCTACTGAGCGTGTGCACCAAACAGCACTGAGAGATTAGGGCCAACAACAATATCAACTAGAGATGGGTGAGTGATTTTTACAAGTCTATGCTCATACAATTTCAAATCAAGTATTATCAACTTTTATTAACCAAAATATTATTATTAACAACTTTTTAAAATTATTTTGTTATGATGAATAATGAAAATGGAATGTATTATAATATGACAAAATATTTCTCATATTTGCTCGCAGCAATGTTAACATTTTAGATGAAATTGAATAATATTTACACAACATTAAATATTTTGTATTTATGCACAAGTGCTAATTTGATCAAATTAATTATGTGACGAGCTTTATCAGAAGTGATTTTCGCCGATCTTGCTTTCCAAGTGTGTGTTTACAGTTTTTAAAATCTCACACGCCCATCTCTATTGCGTCAACAATAATGACGGCAAGGCAAACACAGTAGCAGCAGGAACCGCTTGCTAAGTAGACATTTGTTGTTGTCACTGCGTTTGTTGCTGTTGTTAGTGTTGTTGCTGCAAATGAGAGGCATGCAAACGATGGGGCACGCAATGCAAAAGATGATGATGACGGTGACAACGACGACGACGACGACGCCTTGTCAAGCACTGAACTATAAAGAAAAGCTGCTGTACAACAACAGCGTTTAGCTTCGCTGACTGGCTGGCAAATTTATAAATAAACCATGGAATCATCGAGAATATAAAACACCACTGGCTGCTGCCTTAAAACTTTCAGAATTTTCAATGCTTGCCAAAACGGATATTGCATAAATATGTATATGTATATATACATACTTGTATGTACATACATTTGTACATATTAAAAGCGTAGCATTTGTACATATTATGTGGAACAATTTTGCTTTACCGAGTCCAAATTGAAGAGGGAGGAGACTTTCTTCATGAAGCTGCCGCCGCCGCCACTGCTCCCGCTGCCATCCTGGCGCTTCTTTTTCCTTGTGGTCATTATCACGATTTACACGTTGGAGTTAAATAAAAACAGCTACGAAAAAAATAATCACAACACAAAGCCGGACCGTGCAATTATTTTTGTATTTTTCGTTGTGCGAGGCTTCGCCCGACGCCTCGTCCTCGTACGTTTGCTGTTCTTATTGTTTTTGTGCCTGGTGCTGCGTTTGAATTTGTTGTTATTCAATACTTTCAAGTGTTTACTTTTTTATTTCTTTTAATTATTTATTTATTCTGCAGCGCACTAAGCACTATAAACAAAATAGGCACAACGGCACACAAAAAAAAAAAACAACAAAAAACTGTATAAAATAAACGTTAGGTTTTAAGTAGCGATGAGAAGAGGAGAGCACGAAGACAACGCGGCACACACACACACACAAGCACACGCACGTACACTGAGCGAGAGAGAGAGGCTGAGCTGATACTTATTAACTGAATGAATGAATAACTGACTGGCTGCAAGTGTCACCGACACCGCCACAATATACTCAAAATACAAAACTCGGATAAAACGAAAAAAAGAGTCGAACTTTAAAGAAGCGCGAGCCCGACTCTTGTTTGCCCTGTACGACTCAGAAACAATTTTATTTTTTAAATAATCTTATTGTTTTTTGATATTAAAAATGTGACTGCACGTTATACGTGCCTTCCCGGTTTAGGAGAACCAGCATGCCAAATTTGGTGATTGTTTATTGTTTCAAAGATACTTGTGTTTGAATATTTATATTTTGTGAGGTCTGCTACTGCTTTTGATTGTTACAAACGCTGAACGATTTCATAATACTCTATCACCATTCAGGTACAGAGTATACAAGAAACATACTCGCAGAACAAGAACAACAAAAACAACAACAAATAGCGGCACTGAGCGAGCACAGGCGTCCAGCAGTGAGCGAATGTCAAATACAACTACCGTTGCTTTTGCTATTACTGTTTGATTTTGAGTAGAAGCGCTGCCTAATCACACACACACACACACGTACACGCTATACTTTTCGAATTATTTATTTATTGTTTGCCAGTAAATGGCGAAAAAAATCGTTCATACACACAAATTACTAGCAACCAAAACATACACGCGAAAGAAAACGTTGTAAAATAGCCGCAACGTTAACTCCCTTCCTCCCTCGCTCTTTCTTACACTCTCTCTCCCTCACTCTTTCACTCAGTGTGCTGCTATTTTTTGCGCTATGCACAAACATACACACATCTGTATAGAGGTATTTTATACTGTGTGTGTGACTAATGTTAAAAAATGTAGCACAGGCAAACATTAACAACAGTTTTTGTTGTTATTTCGTTCAGTCAGGCCGTCAGTCAGCCAGCCAATAATTTCCCACTGCACTTTGTTTTGGTATTTAGTTTTGCACGTTCGTTTGCATCTTCACACAAACATATAAAGATATGCATGTGTGTGTGTGTGTAGTTATTTCAGCATTCTTGTTGTTGGATTGCAGGGATTTTTAGGTCACTCGCGCACATTTTTTAAATGAAACATTATTATTTACACTCGCCATACTCGTCTATTTGTTACTAAATTTGTAGCGCTGCTTTATCACACACCGTTACTACAATTTTTCGACCGCTTTTAGTAAACTTCTAGGCCGCCTCGCGTGCGCTGTATTGTTGGCATTTTTCTAGCTCACAGCTAGCGAACGACTAGAGCTGCGCGCGCGCTCGATAAAAGCTGGCGGCGAGCGAGTGAACTACAAATTTGGCCATATCTAGCAGCATTTTGTAATGAAATCACTCAAATGTACTCATCGCTATATAACTCTATGGGCGATTTCTCTGTATCAACACTAATAATAATAACAATAAATAATTATTCGAACTAAAATGTACAGAATAATATAAAATCGATCCTGATTGGTTTTATTTCGACATTTATAAACATTATTTTTATTTCTTCACGTCTTCGAATTACTCTGTGTGTGTTGCGCTACGCCACTCTCTCCCACTCTCTCTCGCTCTCCGCGTCTTCTCTTGCACACGGCCACACACTTTCGCGAATTTATTCTTAAGGCTGCATTTATAATTTTCTTTTCAACTTTGAAGGACAAGAAAATAAGTTTGTTGCTTAAATTAGCAAACACAAACAAATGCGACAGCACGCAACACACCCAACAAATGAACTGGAACTTTTTTGGAATCAAAGATCGTTCACATTTCATAATCGAGTATCGATTGTTCTATGAGATACTGGCAGTGTTGATCAATGTTGAAAACATGCGGATAAATTAATGCCGTCAGTTACTTTTAATACCGCAATTGGATTCAGAACCAGCAACATGGTGGATGTTGCAGAATGTTTGATGTAAAGCATTTCTCATATAAGATGTATTTGGCTTGAAATTAATTTGATGCGTAGCATAATTAATCCTATTAGGGTGCATTCCGAAAAAGTATATCTGAAATGCTATGTGATGACACAATTACCAAATTACTCTCATGGTAGGCGTCGGAGTGAAAAGAGTTAATACAAGCAAGAAATGAAAACAAATTAATTATAATATATACAAACCATAACAAATTAAAACCAAACGAGCAAAAACAACAATTTTTATCAAACAATTTATTCGTATGTCTTTTCCTTGAACACGCTCTTGTTTTTTTGCAACAAAATCAAACGCAATAACATAAACATGCATAGCTTTACATAAAAGTACATAAATCAAACAAATACTAATTGCAAATAAATGCTTTAGAAATAGACATTTTAGAATGAATACAAAAACAATGCGCAACTGCTTGATAGCGCGCAGCGCTACTAAAACTGTAACTGCTACTTAGCCCGGGCACAGTGGCTCGCCAACTGTGGGAGCAGCAAGCAACAATGCGACGGAAACGGAAACGAGCAGGCGGCAGCATTAAATATGCCACGCTCACATCGTTTTTGTGGCTCATTATAACAAGTGAGTAAGTAAATAAGCGAATGAGTGAGTGGTTGGGTGGCTGTGTGGCTCTGTGGCGGATGGCTGTGTGGTTGGCCGACGCACAATTACCCAAAAGCAAGTTTTTGGTTCGTTGAAAATGAAGTGCCAATTTATGTTGCTCTCTAATTACAGCAAACGATTGTAGCGTGATTTTTTGTTTTTTGTTTTCTTCTTTTTTCTTTCTTTTTTTTTTTGCTTTCTGGTTTCTTTCGTGCCTTTCCACTGGCATTGGCACTCGCACTCGCACTCGCACTCTTTATGAAGACTCAAAGGCGCGCTTAAGCATTTTGTATGGCGCTGGCGGCGGCGACAACGACGGCCGCTGCACTCTTCTACGATAGTGTAGTTGCTGTTGGTGTTGTTGTTGCTGTTGCTGATGAGTGATGATGCGTTGGCTTCTAAGCTGTAGCTGTGTGTATGCGTGTGTATATGTATATGTGTGAGTGTAAGTCGTGCTTGTGTGTTAGTCAAACAAAGGCTCTCAGCTCAACTGAGGGCGAGAGGAACAAAGGGTTAAGCTGCGACCACTTACAGTTGTAGTCCCGCTTCTGGCCGTGGCCGCTGACTGTGATTGTTGTTGTTGTTGTTGTTGTTTTTGCTGTTGTTGTTGCTGCTGCTGCTGCTGTTGTTGTTGTGGGGAGCGCGCTCCACGCACCTGGGCCGCATTCTCAGCAGCCGCCTCCTTGGCATTCTGATTGTCGGATTCAATCCGCATGCGTTGATTCTGCAAAGAATTGAAAGACAAAATTGTTTGTTTTATTTCACCGAAATTTCTGGGGCTATTGATCAAATATTGAAATAAAGTCGAATGAGGTGATCATTTTCACATTTTATCTCGAAAATTATTGGCCATCAAGAGCGTTTGTGTTATTTTAAAGAAAGGTGGTTCGACCATTTATATTTATGTCAAAGACATAGGAAATCAATATATAAAATTATAAACAAAAACCTTATAATCTAGGAAAGCCTAAGTAAGAGAAATCTCATCAAATTACAGTAATATCTAAAAATATCTAATATCTAATAATAAACTAAAACACATCCGCCCTCCGGAACAAGAACAATGTTGGAAAGCCCCCGGAGCTCTGTTAAGATAGCAATAGAATTGTCGGAGCGAACCTTTCAAACCCCTTCAGACAATGGCATGGAGCTGTTCCTGGCAGAATATGTAATAAATGTGTTCCTCCTCTTCAATCAAAGAGTAGTCTGCGGCACTGGAGTTGGCCTTCAATTAGGGTTAATTATTCTTAGTTATTCTGACTACTAATAGGGATTAGTAGAATTAGTAGAACCACAAGAAAAGGTTCAGTTCTGCCCACTTTTGGAGCCGTATAAAGAGTTTTTCTAAATGTTTTGAATTTGGGAGAAAAAATTTTCTCTTTCTCTGTGCCGTGCAGTGTATTGTCAGCTCCTCCATTAGCGCTCTACAGTGTCAGGGAACTTCATTGGTGATTAAAAGAAAGCGTTATTCGAGTATGTGGGAAAAGCCTTGGATAGATTTTGGAAAACGCTGCGGCATTTTCAAAAAAATTTTGAGCCGCAATCCTGGATTCCCCGATTATAAAAACATTTTCAGACTTTAATTCTGCAGTTACTGCAAAAACCGTTTTACAGAATCTCCAACTTTTCGCAAAGCCGTTAATTTAGGCTATCTTCTTGGTACTCCCAATAAGCCTATAAATGTGAATATCTTCGGTTCTTACTCTAGTTTTATTTCCAAAATGTTATAGAAATGGGTTGAAAAAAGCAAGAAAGAAAGGTTTGAAAATTATGAATTTCGAGGGAGTTGCCTATGCCGCAATTCTCAGAATTCTAGCCTGCTACGGAACTAAAAAGGGAACTTCTTACTTGTATATCAAGCAAGCATAGAAACAGAACGGATTGCTTAGGAGAGTCTCCTGAAAAGTCCCCTAATTAACGTTTATTTATAACTTTTACAAATTGAATTTGTACATTTGATTAAAAATGTCTAGTTTGAAAAATATTTCCTTATGTTTGGGAATTTAAGAACAAATTCGTTTATATTTTGAAAAAAAAAAAGCAAACAGACATTCAAAAAAATTGGTAAATGTCTTCCGTTTTGGTAAACTATTGAGTTTTAGTTTTTTTTTCGGTATAGTATTCAAACGTGTTTTGAATATGGAAACATTTGCACATTTCAATTTAGCCGCATGAAATCAAATTCGAAAAAGGTACAGGCTTGCTCGATGGATTAAAAAGCAAATATTTTCTTATTTATCAGCTATATTAAACCTATTTCTCTGAGTGCAAGAGAATCATTTATTTTTTTTATTTGTTTGAAAATGTTATTTTGTAGCATTTCATTTATCGATAAGCACGCGCACTTTACAATGTCTCCCAATATCGATAACAGCCGTTAACTTACATTGGCGCAACAACAGGCGTAGCCACCCCCGCTGCCGCCGCCATCGCTGTTGGGCTCCTTCTCCTTTTTTTGCTGAGCACGTGACTGATGCTGTTGTTGCTGCTGCTGCTGGTGGTGGTGCTGCTGCTGCTGTTGTTGTTGTTGCTGCTGTTGTTGTTGTTGTTGCTGCGACTGTGTTGGCGGCGCAGCCAACTGACGCCTACGCCGCCGTATACGAACAGGTGAGCGCGAGCCCACGTAGTTCGAGAATCGGCGACGCGAGTGCCGCACAATCGACACCCAGTCGATCATTTTGTGGAAAAGCTTTGGTGTTTTTTTTTTTAATCACTTGCACGGCACATTAAATAAAAAAAATGCACACACATATACTATATAGACACACAAATACACGCGCGCGATTGTATCGTGGGAATTGTGAAAATCGGTGGTTATTGCTTTGCTTATCTTTATTACACGTACCAGTATGTACCAAAGAACAGTTAAATTGACGTATCAAAGTTTTTTTTTTGTTTTTTTTTTTTTTTGGTATTACTTTAAATTATTATCCCTGTTTTGTGTTGCGTTTTTGTAATTTGTCAGAAGTCTTTTGCGTTGCTGCTTTGTGCGCTTAATTCATTTATGCTCCTTTGCAACACTGGAGTCAAAGGAAATTAGTTAAGAAATGAGCGAAAGTGCCGTTAGTGCGGCGCAATGCGTCGTGAATGACGCGTTGCCAAAACGAATATGAGAGATGGCGAGACAAGTCGCTGATGCTGTCGCTTTAGCTGCGTCGGCGTCAGCGTTGGCGTCGTTGCTGCCTCTGCTGCTGCGGCGGCTGCTGCTGCTGCTGGCTTGGCAACGACAGCAACAAGTAGGCTTTCAAACTGTAAGTCGGCATCAGTCTGCAGGCGTATGCGTGTGTATGTGTGTGTGTGTGTGTGTGTGTGTGGCCTGTTGCCATGTGGCTCGCTTTTTCATCTTTTGCCGCTTTTTTCGGTTATACTTTTTTGTGTAATTTTTATTGAATGCGTACTGCATGTCGTATGAGTAATATATACCTATATACATACATATGTTCGCACATAGAATATATGTATGTATACTGTTCGCTTTCTCATGTAGACGGACACACACACACACACATATACACAGAGAGACAACGACAAGGACAACAAATGAAAATCTGTTTGCCATCTGTTTGATTTCCTGCGCACGGCAACAACAAAAATAATGAAGCTACAAGCTACTTAACAGAGACGAAAATATATACATACATATACATATATAGTATGTATACTTAGTATGTATGATACACACAATCTCACAACTTACGCCTATATACATGCATACATACATACATATGTATGTACATATGTATACGAACTGAGCATTTTCGCTTTGCATTTGCCTTTTTGAGCGTTCGGGGCACAGGAAACATTTTAATTTAAAGTCTACATTCAGGCGCCACCCACCATTCTCCCAAAGCAGCCCTTTATATTTTTCTGCTAGGGTTGCCGCCAACACAACATCTTCATTGCTTTTGTTGTTGTTGTTGTTGTTGCTCTTCCTGTCCAAAATGTGTTTTCTATGCATGGCTTAGTTGTTCGGTTCATCTTTACGTTTTGGCCATAAAGCCATGACCTCGGGTGCAATAAAACAAACACAAAGCATCTAAATTAACTTTTCGAGAAAATGCTGAGTCTCTATCTGTTTCTCTATCTGTTTCTGTTTCAGTTTCCGTTTCCCCCCAACTACTTGTTTCTCAGATTTTCTTTCGCAAACCAAACTAAAGCGCAATGCATATTTTATGGCAGCATGGCCGCAGACTCTTTGATCGTAATTTTCCCCATATGGAACAGCACAGCGTATGTTTTTCGAGAACACCGAAAAAAATCGTTGGCACAAATATTTTTGGAAATTCATAAAACGCGGATATTTGTCGACAGCTTGCTGGCTATTGCAGTGGAAAACTAATATACAGCTGGGGTCACCAGATGTTGGGCCAATTATTTTGTAGCTAAATGAAAAGTTTTAAAACTCATGTTTTCGATGACACCTGAAAATGGTTCCTACATCACCATAGGTTAAGGAGAACTCTCTATTAGTTGATGCATAAAAATTGAACTTTTGACAAGTGAATACTGCTTACACATATCTATTAGAGACGTGCATGTCTGGTCACGAGTTCATTTATTTCCATGCACAACCATTAGGCAATAACCAATTTAATTCAAACAAATAATAACTAATATAAAACGAATGAATGCTCATTAACAAATTTTCAATATGAATCCTAATTGGCATCGCTTTTAATATTTGCTATTGCTCGATAAAAAGTGTGATTGTTGAATTAGCTTTAAGAGTCAAAAGTACTTTAAACAAATCACCTCTAGACTTTTTCATATTGAATGTGGCGGCAGTTTAAGGAGCCGTAACATTAGAACGTTGAAAAGAATCAAGTCGAAGTGTTCGAATTTATATAATTGGATTTGTAAGTTCTGTATATTTAAAAAGGATTCATTTGCAACTCCGATATTCTATATTTCAATGAAGTGAGAGTTTTCTATTATCAGCATTTGCAGCAGTTAATGCAACTGGTTTTGTAAGTTTTATTTATGTAGCTGGTGGCAGATGGAAAAATTACCTTTGACTGTACCTACAAAAAAGATTCACTTGCTATCCCGAGTGTTCATTAATACATGATTTCAGTGTCAAGTTAAAGCGTTGATTTGTTAGCCATACTATGTATTTATATAGCCAGAGCCAAAGCCAAATCATTTGGAATGCAAGTGCATTCAAATGCCTTTAGAGTGTGCTCATGCAGATCTCTACTAAATATTTAAATTACCCCATAGTTCATCTATTTTTTTTTTTTGCTTCTGCAGACGTGCTCCACATGTACACATACATACTACTTATATACATTATATGTACCAGTATAGTATATAGTATATATTTCTTAGATATATTCAGATATGTAGGTGTGCGTCTATGTATATAAGTATTATGGCTCACAGGCTTTTACGAAACATAAAAACATCTCTGGTGCTGTTGTTGTTGTTGTTGTTGTTATTATTATGAGTAGTCCGGTAAGTCTTTTTTATGGCTCTGGCCCTGCACCAACGCCCGCCCCCTCCCCCTACCCCCAAGTCTGCAAAATTAACCTCGCACGCACACCTATGAAATAATTTATATATAGTTTTGGACTCCAATGCTTTTGTTTCTGTTGCTATTGTTGTTGTTGTTGTTGTGTGCAACGGAAAATGCTGTTGAAAAACTTTTGTTTTCTGCTTAATCAGAGTGAAAAAATGTTGAGAAAATGCTTTAAAGTCTTTTTGTCAGCATTTTGTGTTTTGTGT